CGCTCCAGATGAGCGCTGGTGTCCTGCTCTTTCTTCAGCTCCTCTGCCATCATGGCAGCATCAGTGATGGCCTTCTTGGCCTTCTCCTCTGCATTCCTGCACTCCTGCACTGCCTCCTCCACTTCACTCTGAAGCTGGGATGTATCAGCCTCCAGCTTCTTCTTTTGGTTTATCAGGCTGGTGTTCTGCATATTATTAAGGTATGCAATGCAATAATATGAGAAAAAGTGTCCATCTGCACTTTAGAAAAAAAGTAAGTAAAAAGTATTCATACATCTGCATGGTTGCAGTAAACAGAACTCACCTGTGAGTGCAGTAGCTGCACTCTCTCACTGACATCCAGCAGCTCTTGCTCTGCAAGTTTGCGGCTTCTCTCCGCTTGCTCCAGAGCTGCTCTCAGCTCCTCCAGTTCAGCCTGAAGAAGGTTGTTGCGTCGCTCAACAATGGCAATGTTCTCTTTAAGGTCATCGTTGGCCCGAAGAGAGTCATCCAGCTGAATTTGGCAATCCTTGATGAGATAACATTATTCACATTAAAATTTATACCCAGTTTGAATGTAAAACATCTGAAAATTCTTTCACTTTTTTTTAGTTTACCTTCATATGTGCATGAACAGCCTTAAGCTGTTTCTGGGCCTCGGCTGCCTGCCTGTTGGCCTGGCTTAGCTGGATCTCCATCTCGTTCAGGTCTCCTTCCATTTTCTTCTTCAGCCGCAGAGCCTCATTCCTGCTGCGACACTCAGCTTCAAGAGAGCTCTGCAGGGTGTCGATGGTCCTCTGCAGGTTTCTCTTGCACTGCTCCATCTCTTCATCCTTCTCGGCCAGTTTACGTTCAATATCAGCTTTAATTTGATTGAACTCAAGCTGGGCTCTTAAAATCTTACCCTCTTCATGCTCAAGAGAGGCCTAGTGGGCAAGAAGTTGCAGAATTACACATAATGGCAGTTAGTTTTACTTAAAAATGTCTTATTAATTATTCAGAGCGTGTACCTCAGCTTCCTCGAGAGCAGACTGAATCTCACTCTTCTCCTGTTCCAGTTGTTTCCGTAACTTTTCCAGTTCATGTATACTTTTGCCACTCTCACCAAGTTGCTCAGTGATGTCAGAAATCTCCTCTATGGGATGTCAAACACTGCTATTAGGATGACTTTAAAGTTTAATGCTGTGTCTACAGATCTTGTGCACAAACACCACCAGCAGATCCTACCCTGTAAATTCTTGTTCTCTCTTTTCATGGTCTCCAGATGATCCAGAGCTTCCTCATATGAGTTCTTCAGTTTGAACAGCTCAGTGCTCAGAGCCCTTGCTTCCTTTTGGGAGCTCTCCAGCTCGCACTGAGACTCCTCATACTTCTGCTTCCACTCAGAAAGAACCTGCAGTGTAACAAAGGCCAACAATAAGTCTGTGTTTGCCAGATTGATTATTCCAGTTGACTTATTCCAATATTAGAAATAGTGCTCAAGGAAAGACAGCATTTATAACATTCACATTCATTCTTAACAAATGTGCTCAGAAGGGGGCAGCCTGTTGTGGATTTTTAAAACTACCACACGCTGCATGTGTGTTTATATTCTGCTTAAATAGCCCCTGTGGGTGCTGAGATTTTTTCTAG